GCTTTGTCTCCTGGGTATACTGATATATAATGACTTTTCCCAAATCTGGTTGTTTTCATTCTTAGACATATTCCCTGTGGTCCACTCTTAAGTGCTTAAACTTAATTATCAGGTTAAGTTTTTAATTGTCTTTCCTGGTTCATCTGGTAATGACATCTTTGTCTCTTCGTTTTCATTACTTATTCCTCTTCTTTTTCTCCTTGCATTGCTTTGGCTCTGGCTTCCAGTATTGATTTTTCAGATAAGCACTACTTAGTTTGTATTTGCATCCCACCCTGAGAATGCACAAAGGTTATTAGCTGCCCTTGTGGTGTTGGGAATAATATCTTATTAAGCCTTATGCCCATTGTCTTACAGAGTGCTGAGCCCATTGTAGGCTTCCTGCAAATGTTTAGTGATTGATTAAAGCAAATATTCATTAATTGAAAAGTAATTTTACCTTATATCAAAGTGTAAACTATTATTCTTAACTGTACCTACATCCAAAAAGATTTTGAGGTTGCCTTTTCAAAACATCCGGGAGGGGCAGACTGCCGTGATGGTTTTGGGGTCATACCGTGCTTCTGTCCTCTACTGACCAAGGGCCCCTGGCAGGTGTTTTAAGCCGGGAGCCCTGGGTTAATGTAAGTGAAGCTCACTCTGCTGTCTAATTCATAGGCTGTTAAAAAGTGAAAATGAAATCATGAAGGTAAAGCATTTCAGCACAGTGCCTGATGAATTGGGAATTCAGTGGGACTCACCCACCTCCAGTGTCTCATATCATGTAGCAAGGTAGGATTTATTTTCAGAATTTACAAGGTAGAGGATATCCATTCGCAATATTTTACCTTCACAGCAACCTTTTGAGTCAAGGAACAAGATTCTCACTTTATGCCTGTAAGCGCTGAAGTGACCTGCTAAAGGGGGTTTCTAGGAAGAGAATTAGAGCCTCGAAGTCATGTTCTGCTTTTTATTCAGCTTTCGGGTACTATGCTGGTGGGACCTAGAGTAGCACTTTAGTTGGTGCTGTAATATCGGTAATGCCCCGCTGACTATTGGCCCTTTTACTCAGTGATCCTAGTTGGCTATCTTTCTGAGATTTCATGTCTTATAGAAGCTGGCCTCCTCTGTTACTGTCAGTGTACTTACCTATAGTGTACTAGCATCCTTGGCTTTCTTGCCATTCCTGTCTGTGGTTCAGAAATCCTATCACCAGTGTCATTCAGATTGTTTCTAAGAGTCAATAGGCTTGGTATGGGTTGGGTTGGTGTGGGGGATGGTTGGCTGAAGTTTCCCTGAGGAGTGAGTTTTTGTCTACTTGCATGCCGTGTTGGTGTTTATGTTTTATATTTTCAGCCAAGAAACAAAGTGAATGTTAGATCAGGGGTTTAATTTAATCATCAGCATCCCAGTAATTTTACTCATTTTTACAGATCTTTAAAGTTGCAAAGTGTGAATATAGCCTTCATATAGTAATCAAATCTTTCTCCTTCACTTAATAGGTTAAATCAAATCTGTGATTTTTCTCAGACTGAAATTCCAAAACAGGTCTGCCCTGCCAGTATAGTATGCATTGGCTCAGTGTTACTTCTGGGCCTGAGGGCCTAATAGTTGCCTTTTCATTAACCTGTGTATAAACAGGTTTCAGATCTGGAGTCTGCTGTTTTTAAACTAGCTTTGAGGACCTTTCCATCCATTCTTAGATGTCTTTTATACTAAGGAGAATCAGGGGGTACTAGATTACAGGTGTCCATTCAGAGCGTGGTAGACTTTGAATCTGAAGAACTTGATTTTAGGGGTGCCTGGGTGGCTCAGTCATTAAGCGTCTGCCTTCGGCTCAGGTCATAATCCCAGGGTCCTGGGATCGAGCCCCACATCAGGCTTCCTGCTCCATGGGAAGCCTACGCTTTTCCCTCTCCCACTCCCCCTGCTTGTGTTCCCTCTCTCACTGTCTCTCTCTGTCAAATAAATAAAATCTTTAGAAAGAAAGAAAGAGAGAGAGAGAGGAAGGGAGAAAGAGAGACAAAGAAAGAAAAAAAGAGAAAGAAAAAAGAAAGAACGAACGAACTTGACTTTAGAAGATACTTGGACCTAGGGGTGCCTGGGTGGCTCAGTAGGTTAAGTGTCTGCCTTCGGCTCAGGTCACATTCTCAGGTCTCTCTGAGACCAAGCCCCACTTCGGGCTCCCCGCTCAATAGGAGGTCTGCTTGTCCCTCTCCCTTTGCCCCCCCCCCACTCATGTGCTCTCTCTCTCTCAAGTAAATAAATAAAATCTTAAAAAAAAAAAAAAAAGAAGATACTTGGACCCTAATTGCAAAGCCATGTATTAATTATTTTATTGGGTAAAATAAATAACCGGGGTGGTGAGGCTTGAGGAAAGGGAGTGGCCAGCTGTTGAGGGCCATTCACTTACTGCACCTAATGCACCAGACACTGAATCTGCCAGACAGTACCAGAGCTGTGACTCAGAGCGAGTCTCTGGCCTTGGGGAGCTTACGTTCTCTGGTGCTAGGCACTTTCATATGCCCTAGGGGTATGAGGACAGCATCATCTTGATGATTGACTCTCAGAGTTGTTTTTTCTTTCTTCCCTTGATTCTGCAGGGTTCCTCCTAGAGCTGCAGGCATTGGGATTCCCAAATTTGGGGTGGGGGGGCTCTTCATCCGGAGCATTAAAAGTACTGCATGCCCTTCCCAGAATCCCCTAACGAGCTCTTCAAGTTATTTTAAGGGGGGGGGGTGTGTTGTGTGTACACGTACTTATGCACTCACACATGGGTGGAATATGTCTGACAGGCAAGGATAAGATTCAGAGAGGTTAAGTATCTTGTCTGCGGTCACAGAGCAGAATTTGTTATTTTTAATCCAGGTCCTTGAACTTCAGATCCCATGTTTATAGAATATTACGTGTCATAACTTCAAAGAGCTTTAGTTTTCTTATATAAAAAAATTGTGTGTACAGCTTGACTTATATTACTGTTGAGCAAATGAAGTTAGAACTCACTTTGAATCCTGAAAATACCTCAGAACTGTGAGGTGACATTTCTTTCTTGTATTCCTTTTCAGCTCTGTGAAGTAGGAAAGCAGTGCCCACAGAGGTGGCCTTTTCTGTACTGATATAAAGAGCAACTTTAGGAGGCCTGGGTGGCTCAGTCAGTTGGGTATCTGCCTTTGGCTTGGGTCGTGATACCGGGGTCCCGGGATCGAGCCCCACGTCGGGCTCCCTGCTTGGTGGGGAGTCTGCTTCTCCCTCCCCCTCCCCCCCGCTCCTTCTCTCTCTGTCTCTCTCTCTGTCTCTCTCTTTTTGTCTCAAATAAATAAAATCTTAAAAAAAAAAAAGAGCAACTTTACAGATACCTCTTTGGGAAAAAGAACTAGCCACCTTATCCTTGAAAGTCTGAATGAGCCGAATGGATAATAATGCACACTATTCTGGACCTGTGTTTTAGCCTAGCTATTTTGAGAGGAGGATCAAATTGAACTTGCATTGGGAGTCTTGCAAAGTGAGGATTCTGATTTAGTAAGGCCTCAGATTCTGCGTTTTTAAAAAAGATTTATTTATTTGCGAGGGAGAGAGAGAGAGAGAGACAAACAGGCAGACACACAAGCGGGAGGGGCAGAGGGAGAGGGAGAAAGAAACTCAAGTGGACTCCACACTGAGTGTGGAGCCCAACTCGGGGCTCAGTCGCAGGACCCTGAGATCATGACCTGAACCGAAACCAAGAGTCAGACACTTAACCCGCTGTGCCACCCAGGTACCCTTCAGATTCTGCATTTTTAATAAACTTCCAGGTGCTGCTGGTGCTCCTGATCCATGGATAACAATTTATGAGTAGCAAGGGCCTCTCTATGGCTGTGATGGTAGTAAGCTCACAGCTGCCAGGTCTGTGTCTTCAAAGTCGACTTCACATACTTGGCATTTGGAATCTGTTGACGAAGCTCATTGGATGAGAAGGTGGTGCTTATTCATGGACAGATATTATCAGGCAGCCACTTCTCCATCCCTGGCAGGGTTTCCAGCTTTGAGATACAGCTTAACTTTAGATGTGCTGGAAGAATTTTTTCTTACAGCTTAAAAAAAGTTCTTGGTGAATGCCAGGAGGCCCAAGAATCCATCATTTAAAAAGAAATTCAAAGTCCCAGCACTTTGTATGTAAAGTCTATGGTCAGCTGGCATTCTGCACCTTCCAGACAAATCAGTCTTGTATGGAAAGCCTGCCGCCCTGGGAAGCAGGCGCGCGCACAGCCCTAGAAGAAATCACAGGAAGTAATTAAACAGAGAAGGTCAGAGAAAGAGGAAGTGGTTGTGTTGTTTCTGATGCAAATAGCATTGTTGTTCCTGGGGATCCAGATGATGGTGTTTAAGTCTTCTGGAATGCGACTGCTTGGGGATTTGATTGTATTTAAATTGCAGCCCTTTCAGTTTATTCTTTTAGACAGCAATCTAGTTAGGAAATGAATTGCTTTTAGGTCTTATCAGGAATACCCACGTGCCTAGGCAAAAGTTTTAAGCAGGGAGTTGCTTATAGCTTGGCAAATTGCACCTAAATGAAATGAATGTCAAGACTATTAGAGGTTAATTTTAGGTGTCTGGAGTTCTCCTTAATTTGCCTGATTAAATACTTTAACATAATAGTTTCCTTAATTGGAATAATGATGGAATATTAGCATGCATATTAAACCATTTACCCAAATTTGAATAGGGTTAAAATGCAAATTATCCATCACTTGTCAGTGCTTACTCTTTAGAGATGATTCCTGGTGAGAGATGGGGAAAAGACTGGAATGTGAATCTGGATGGGGCTTTCCACTTGAGGCAGCATTGCTAGGAAAGCCAAGAATAGACCAGAGGACTGAAGTAAGTGAGAGACCCTTTGTTCCCCCAAAACAGTGGTACTAAAAATACCCCAACACTTATGATAGCAAAACTGCAACATGGGGGCGGATGTGGTGGGAAATCTGAAATGAACTGATGACCCTCTGGTTGTGTCTTTATTAGCCTGTCATATTTTTCTTTGACAGGAAGGTGATGAGAGCCTAAAGACCCCCCCCCCGCCCCAGTATTTAGATACCCCATCTGAAGTCTTGGTCTGATGCCACCACCCAGCAGTTCCCAACCAAGTGTCTGAGAACCCATAAACACTACAAGTGTCTGTGAACCAAATACATAATGTCACCCATTTGTATCTATTACTCTATTTCGATGTACGTAGCTGCATTTATAGAATAATAAGCCATGACCTCATTAAAATACTACACAATTCACGGTGGATGTTTGTTGTATATTTTTTCTTAACTCACAGTTATTAACAAATGCAACTGTAATCCCTGAGGAGGGGAGTTGGTATCCGAATTTTCTCCCTTTGAGTCTTTATACTTAGAAAATTGGGAATCCTTGTGGCCCTCATTCTGGACCTAAGAATGTAAGTGTGGTCATTCTGTAGGGGATGCATACGCAAGAGGGTGTGTTCCTACGCCAGGGCGGATTGGTTGGAAGGTCTGGGGAAAGTAAGGGCCAAGTTTAGTTGGAGGAAGAGAAGTTGAAAATGAGTCAGGACATCTCTCCTAGAGACTTGGCATGATGTTGGATCTTCTGATTAAAGGAGGGAGTGCTGGGGGCTTGAGTCTTCTCTGTCTTCAGTCCTTGCCCTTTTTAGCTACCACGATCAGCATTGTCCAATACCCGTGCTGTGCAGCTCTCAGATGGACACCAAGCAGCAAAGAAGATGGCTACCCTGTTAACGTGTACAGAGCTCTGGGAGTCAGGAAACTTGGGTTCCCCTTCCTTCTTTGCCACCAGCCTGCTATGTGACCTAAGATGCCAAGCTTCTCCGGACTCTGCTTTCTCATCTCTAAAATAAAGGAGTTGAATAACATAACAGTATGGAAGGACTCTTCTAGTTCCAAATATTTCAGGGAGAGTTAATGTTAAAAAAACTTATTCATATTTACTTATAAGCATAATATTCTTTTTTTAATTGAAGCATAGCTGACACACAATGTCTCATTAGTTTCAGGTGTACAACATAGTGATTCAGCACCTCCGTGCCTATGCTGTGCCCACCACAAGTATAGCTGCCATCTGTCACCGTACAACACCATTACCTGTAGCTGCCATCTGTCACCGTACACCATTACCTGTAGCTGCCATCTGTCACCGTACAACACCATTACCTGTAGCTGCCATCTGTCACCGTACACCATTACCTGTAGCTGCCATCTGTCACCGTACAACACCATTACCTGTATTCCCTGTGTTGTACCTTTCATCTCTGTGACTTACTCATTCTGTAACTGGAAGCCTGTATCTCCCACTGCCCTTCACCCTTTTGCCCATTCCCTCTCCCCACCTCCCTCTGGCAACCACCATTTTGTTCTCTGTGTTTTATGAGTCTATTTCTGCTTTGTTTATTTTGTTTTTTAGATTCCACATATAAGTGAAATCATTTGCTATTTGTCTTTCTCTGTCTGACTTATTTCACTTAGCATAACATCCTCTAGGTCTATCCATGTTGTTGAAAATGGCAAACTCTCCTTCCTTTTTATGGCTGACTAATATTCCATGGTTGTGTGTGTGTGTGTGTGTGTGTGTGTGTGTGTGTACCACATCGTTTTTATCCATTCATCTATTGATGAACACTTGAATTGCTTCCATATCTTGGCTATTGTAAATAATACTACAATGAATATAGGAGTGTATATATTTTTTGAATTAGAGTTTTGTTTTCTTTGGGTAAATACCCAGTAGTGGAATTACTAGATTGTATGATATTTCTATTTTTAATTTTTGTGAGGAACGTCTATGCTGTTTTCTATAGTGGTTGCACCAATATACATTCCCACCAGCAATGTGTGAGTGTTCCTTTTTTTCCACATCCTCACCAATATTTGTTATTTCTTGTTATTTTGATACTAGCCATTCTGACAGGTGTAAGGTGATATCTTAGTGTGGTTTTAAGTTGCCTGATGATTAGTGATGTTGAGCACCTTTTCATGTGTTTATTGCCATAGAATTCTTTTTTTTAAAGATTTTTATTTATTTATTTATTTGAGAGAGAGAATGAGAGATAGAGATTAGAGAACTCAAATAGGGATGGTGGTGGTATTTTGTGGGGAGGCACAGGTCAAGCCATATAGGGAGGAGGCATCTCTTGTCCAAAGGTTTCTTCCACAGGTAGAAAACTCCTTTTCTAGGTTTATGCTGGGGGAGCTCAGAGAAAGAGCTGGTTGAGTTGGCTGAGGTTAACTTTAGAAGCTGAGTGCCAGGCTAACAAAGCAGGTCCTTGGAGATTTGTTCTTTAGGTAGGACAGAGCTGTTTAAGATTTTGGTTTTTTTTGTTTTGTTTTGTTTTGTTTTTAAAGATTTTATTTATTTATTTGAGAGAGAGAATGAGAGATAGAGAGCACAAGAGGAAAGAGGGTCAGAGGGAGAAGCAGACTCCCTGCTGAGCAGGGAGCCCGATGCGGGACTCGATCCTGGGACTCCAGGATCATGACCTGAGCCGAAGGCAGTCGCCCAACCAACTGAGCCACCCAGGCGTCCTGTTTAAGATTTTGAAACAAAGAGGTGATGATGTGATATGTTGGTAAATTCAAATTAATTGAACTAGTTAGAGGGTGCAGGGGAGGCTAGAGTCAAGGAGGCTGCTAATAATTGTTGCTCTGCCACACCTGGGCAGGACTTTTCTCTCTGGCCTTAATTAAATGCAGTAGGTATTGCTGTAAATAAAAAGTTTTGTCCCAAGGAGGGTGTCCTTATGCTTATTGTAAGATGGTCAAGTGTGCTGTGAAATTCAGAACGTTACTTTCTAGATCAAACTTACAATTTGGGGATAACGCAAGTAAGTGTTTTTTTGTTTGTTTTTACTATTGTTACTTCTGCAGAAACACAGCACTGATCTGTTGAAATTGCCGTTGTGATGCACAGGATGCATGATGCATATTGCCCTTCCTCAGTAGAGTAAAATGGTTGCAATTAGGTCATAAAATTATAGAACTGGAGAGGATCTTAGGAAAATACCATCTTGGCTCCCTTCTTTTACACATAAATTGCAGTCCAGAGAGGTCAAATGAGTATACTGGGGTTACCACGCTAGTCTGTGATTTGGGATATGTCCGTGCGCAGATGTCATCTGGCCTTGGTTCCAGTCCTGTTTTGGGCACTGTGTTAAACATTCATGACAATTGCTGTCTTCAAGTTGTGGAACCCCCAGGAGACAGGATAAAGATGGTAAAAATAATAATTCAGGTTAACGTGGTCCATGTAGATGGTGAACCATCAACACTGAATAGATTGCTAGCTTTGGTCAGCTCTTGAGCAATAGGTTGCAGTGGATGAGCTTGCCAAATGCTGTCCCTGTGTGGCTCATCTGCAACATCACTAATCATCAGGCAACTTAAAACCACAATAAGATATCACCTTACACCTGTCAGAATGGCTAATATCAAAATAACAAGAAATAACAAATATTGGTGAGGATGTGGAAAAAAAGGAACACTCACGCACTGTTGGTGGGAATGTATATTGGTGCAACCACTATAGAAAACAGCATTCACAATTCAGCTCTTGAGCAATAGGTTGCAGTGGATGAGCTTGCCAAATGCTGTCCCTGTGTGGCTTACCTTGATGGCAGGTAGGAGTCCTGAGGTCTGACTTCCACGTGTTGTGTTTCAGGGACAAAAGGGTTAGGAGTAGAGGCAGAGGAGGGCCTCTTTCAGCTTGCCCTTCTGGGAGAGAGGAGATGAGCCCTTAGATGAAAAATTGAAATACATGTGATGTTCCAAGGTTTTTGCACCTGGACACCAGCAAGAAAGTTTTGAAACATTACCTCTGCTTGTTCTTCCTCCCTAGCTCCAGTGCCTTCTGTTCTCCCCATGTGTTTGCTTTTGATGTTAACTGCCAAGGCAGTGTGGTCATAGACAGCAGGAAGTAATATTTGATATGCAGGTCTCGTGGGGTGGGGGTAGGTGGATGCCAGGATGGGAAGGGTGGCGGTTTTGGCACATTAGTGTGAGAACACTGCATGTTTCTAAGCCAACAGGTGCTGTTGCAGCTAAGGAGGGAAGGGAAGGATTGACCACCTGGTCATATAAGAGCATTTTTATGGTAGCTTTCTACTTTGTTTTTCTAAGGTCACTGCCCCATAGGTTGAACCCAGATAAAGTTGGGATTATCCTCTGTACCAAACACAGGTAGTGTTGTAGCCAAGGGCTTGTAGAAACCTAGGCTTGAGTAAGAATAAAAATAATCTCCAAACCAAGACAGTATCCCCGTGAGCTGAAGGTCCCACAGACAGGCTGGGAGGACACACCCTACTTTGCCACAGTGAAACTTAATCCATTTCCCATTCCTGCTTTGAAACCATAGTCTTCAGTAAGGACTCCCCCTGGGATAACAAGATTTCTACTGCTTGTGTAGGATAGGAAACTTGTATTTTTAAAAACTTTCTTTCTCTTGGGTTTCTATCCACCCCTCCCTTTTGTTTCTTGTTAATCCCCTTCAGCTGGGCATTCTTCTCACTGATAAAGTAAAAGGGTCCCTTGTGAGTCTGAAGATTCCCATGTGGAGTTTCAGGCTCCTAGTTCAGTGCTTCTGGATCATCCAAACGATGTGGGTCGTTTGGTTGTAAATGATGGATCCCCCTTCCACATTCCTCTTATTCCACAATGAGCAGCACAGCAGTGACCAGGAGAATTAGACAGGTGTGGACCACCCACCACCCCTGGCATGCAACCTGAAACAGACCTCCGCCCACCCCCAACTGTCCTAACAAGGACAATTTATCAATATAACAAGAGGCCCTAAGGGGGAGCATATCTGGCGTTGGTTTGGGATGCTGTTTAGGATGCAGTGCCCTTCCTACTTTCCAGTCTTACCTTTCTCATCCCTAGATGAATTGAATTCGAATGTTGCCTCCACTCTGTGTGTTATTATTAAAGTAAATCCCCCCCAGGAGATTCTAATGTGCCTTAGGCTAATCAGGATTTGGAAGAGGGGAAGTGGGGAATGCCCTACCAAACCTAGAGGGTCGTAACCAACCAAGATGGCTAGGGAAAATTT